CTCCTGCCTCAGCCTCCCGAGTAGCTGGGACTACAGGCGCCCGCTACCACGCCCGGCTAATTTTTTTCTATTTTTAGTAGAGACGCGTTTCACCGTGTTAGCCAGGATGGTCTCGATCTCCTGACCTCCTGATTCGCCCACCTCGGCCTCCCAAACTGCTGGGATTACAAGGGTGAACCACCACGCCGGCCCGCCGCGGGTAGTTTTCCACTTTCCCGCCAGGCCCGACGCTGCTCTGACGCCACCGAGGCGCGCCACGTCGTGACGTGAACTTTCGCGCCGGAAGTGTAAGGCCAGGCAGCCCAGCTGAAGGCAGTAAGCTGGCCTCTCCGTTGCAGGGTAGTTCTGGGATATCGGGGCAAAGGGGCGTGAGAAGGCCCGGAGGCGAAGTCGAAGAGAAGCCGAAGAGAAGCAACTGCGCCCTGGAGAAGAGAAGCTCGCCCATTCCCGACTGGGAGCCAGCTTTCAGTGAAGATGGCGGGGCCAGAACTCTTGCTCGACTCTAACATCCGCCTCTGGGTGGTTCTACCCATCGTTATCATCACTTTCTTCGTAGGCATGATCCGCCACTACGTGTCCATCCTGCTGCAGAGCGACAAGAAGCTCACCCAGGAACAAGTATCTGACAGGTCAGCCCCCTCCCTTCTCCTGCCTACCTCACACCGCCGTGACCTTGGGCAAGAAAGTGCAGGAGTTGTGTCAATTTGCCTAGGTTCACGTCGCGTCCCCACTGGCAGGGTGACCTTACCCGTTATCTCTGTGTTTCACTTTTGTCCCCTGTGAAATGGGGATGATAACAGTACCTGCTTCATAGACAGGTAGGAATCAAATTAGATGATGTCTGTAAAGCCCTTAGCACAGGATCTAGGACGTATTGAGTTTTGAAAAAAACGGTGCTGTTAATCCTTTACGTTAGTCGCCAACCTTCGGTGGGTTTACCTATGAACTATCCCATCCTACCCTTTCGTTGAGAAGAGTGCCAGGTGCGTTACTGCTCTTAGTCTTTATAATATCCAGTCAAGTGAGTGTGATAATCTGCATTCTACCAAATTAGTGTACCAGGAGTCGGACCTGGCGGGACTGTCAGCTGAGATGCTAAGTACCAAAGCTCTTTGCAGTCTGTAAAATTGCTGTTAGAGATGTAAGGAATTGTAGTTTATCATTTACCCCCTAGAGTGGAGGCAACTTCCTCACATATTTCATTGCAGTATTTATTTATTTATCTACGTATTTACTTATTTTTGAGACAGAGTTTCGCTCTCGTGGCCCCGGGCTGGAGTGCAGTGGCGTTATCTCAGCTTGCTGCAACCACCGCCTCCCAGGTTCAAGCGATTCTCCTGCCTCAGCCTCCCGAGTAGCTGGGATTACAGGCCCACACCACTACACCTGACTAATTTTTGTATTTTTTGTAGAGACAGGGTTTCACCATCTTGGCCAGGCTGTTCTCAAACTCTTGACCTCAGGTGATCCACCTGCCTTGGCCTCCCAAAGTGCTGGGATTACAGTTGTGAGCCACCACGCCCAGCCCCTCATTGCAATATTTATATACAGAGACAGGAAGTTGAGATGATTTTAGATGGTTATCTAGACATGTACCCCTTCATATTAAAGTAATAGTTTTCTCCCAGCTACTTGGGATGCTGAGGCAGGAGGATTGTTGGAGACCAGCCTGGGCAACGTAAGGAGACATTGTCTCTTAGACAAACAAGCAATTATCAGTCAGTTCTGATTAAGTTCAGAAACCATCTCAGGTAAGTGCTACTGTATCTTTAGCACCTCCCTCTCACATTAATTTCTCGTTTTAATAAAGAGAGTAAGCCTCAGGCTAAGAACTTTCCACAGGTAATAGTATCTAGTTAAAATTTAATAATGTTGTTTTGATTCTACTGTACTTATTTTAAGTTACTTTCTTTTTTGTGACAGTACTGTATTTCCATTTGCTGGTAATTTAAAGATTCCTTTAAAATCATATAGATGGGAAAAAAGTTGATATATAAAAAGTATTAAATATGTAATGATAACAAGTGCTAGACAAAAATTCTGACCCATGGCATGAGAATGACTGAAGTTTATTTAGGAAGCACTGCTGTAACATTTCCCAATTATGCCAAGAAGAATAGTAACCATTTACTCTGTCAGGCACTATGCGAAGCACTTGTATTCATTAACTTACTTAAAACGCAAAACAACTCTATGAGGTACATATTGTTGTCTCATTTTATAGAAACTGAAGCTTTAACAAGTTCCATGGTCACACATGGTGACATTCAGGACTTCACACCAAACCTTCTGGTCTTGGGCTTTTTCCACTATACCACAGCGATCACTGTCTTTCTGTAGCATTAGTTTTAGAACTGACCAGAGCCAGCACCCCACCCTGGAGTGAACCTTAAGAAGTCAACTTACTGGCTGGGTGTGGTGGTGGCTCACCCCTGTAATCCCAGCACTTTGGGAGGCCGAGGTGGGTGGATCACAAGTTCAGGAGATTGAGAACATCCTGGCTAGGATGTTTCTACTGAAAATACAAAAAATTAGCTGGGCGTGGTATGCTGGGCGCCTGTCGTCCCAGCTACTCAGGAGACTGAGGCGGTAGAATTCCTTGAACTCAGGAGGCAAGAGCTTGCAGTGAACTGAGATCATGCCACTGCACTCCAGCCTGGATGACAGAGTAAGACTCTGTCTCAAAAAAAAAAAA